GTATAGCTAAGTTGAAGATTTATTAACAATTTTGCATTAGGATTCATATACCACTAATTCTTTAGTCTTTTAATTATAAGTTTGTTTCCTATATTATAAATTCTCGTTTTTACCCTATTTTTATTATCAGGCCTCAGCTACAGAACATTTTGTTCAATCTGTGAAAAACCCTCCATCAGATGAGTTTTTTGAGGAGGTAGATAGTGATGAGGAACTTGCATTACCTGCAGAGAAAAAGCATCACCGAGGCGATGCGGAACTTCCAAAGGAGCAAGAGACTCTTTATCCACCACTTGATCCCTCTGATGATAAAGACCAGATTTCCATTCCTACTTTAAACACAAATGGATCTGTTCTTGATTCTGTCGGGCGACTTGTCTCCTCCGTCACAACCAAAATTCCTGAATATCAACGTATTACTATTCTAAGTTCGAATGTATCCGAAGGAGCTGATCATTTGGACTTGCTTCCTCCCAATGTCGCAAAAGAGCATGCAGCAATCACTCAATCTTCCCCAGCATCAAGTTGTTTTAACCTCGAGCAATGCGAAGAAAACACTGATAAGGATTCTTCTGATAAAAAATCATGTAATGGTTGGTTGATTCAGCCTGCATACGTATTTGCTTGTCTATTTCCACTTAATTTACTAGAATTTTAGATGAGCCCGAGATTAATGGTCTTGATTTTTTAGATTGCATTTAGTACGCAATTTAGTACGGATTGCTGCTTATCCCCTTTTTATTTGCCATTATTATCAGCCCTCAATCAATCTGTCGACATTTGGCACTGTCCCATTTTATTTTATGAATTTAGAATGGCCGTTCTAAGGTCAACATTTACCTTTAAATGTGTTTAATTCCCACCAATCTGTTACTTAGAGTGACGGATATCAGATAATCGACATTTTCTTGAAGGGTCCCAATTGATGTTTACGAGGTTTTAGGTTGAGGCCCAATTAAAACAGCGAATTTATGTTATTAATTTAATACATCATCAACATTTTCCCCTAATGACCC